GAGAGAGAGAGAGAGAGAGAGAGAGAGAGAGAGAGAGAGAGAGAGAGAGAGAGTTAGTTTGCATTGGTCAGTTGGCTCCACCATTAATGCATCACCTGTCATATTTGTTTTTGCGAGTGAAGCCGCAACAAGTCATCTAGTGCGTATAATATCTTTTGCTCCGCCAGTTGGGAAAATAGGGAGGCCTCGGGTGGGCCTCTGATCTTTTCAGGAGGCCGAAACGAAACGACACAACGGCCGCCGATGAGATTTATCAACGGCGGCCGTCGTTGGGCCCTGCCGATGTTTTTTTTGTGAGTATGGGAAAACTGCCAGTTTTCCCTGTTTCCCAACACTGGCAGAGGTACTAGTGCTTTAATCCCTGCCGCGTCGAAACAAAATAGCTGGGAAAGGACCTGGTGGTTCGAGGAACAGCTTCTGAGGCATACGAAGAAGAGTCATGTGACTCTTGACGCGGGCCTACCGGCTTTTTCATGCGGCCTGACTGACAATTCATTGCAATTTTGTTTCATGAAAGTTGCATGCTCTCTGTGCATGGAAAGTACGAAAAAGATGTCTTGCTTGCAGTAAGTCGCGGGACACTGCACACGTATGCATTGACGGCGTAGAGAAGCTGGAAATGTTGATGTGAACTGTGCGCTTTCCGGTGGGTTGACTTTGACCGGTGCCTGTGTGTGCTCGCTAGCGCACTTTGCTTTTCTGTTGACTGTCTCTTTCCTTGTTGATTGGCTTGTTTTTTTTGGCTCAGAGAAGATGCGGCAGCCGCAATCGATAACATGCACAATGCAGAGCTCTATGGGCGGGTTCTGACTGTCAATTACGCGCAACCAATGAAGATCAAGGGTGGCGAACAGGGCTGGGCTAGCCAGCCAGGTAAGTGACTCAGCAGGAGATACCAACTGCCAACTGGTGTCGATTCGAGAGTGCGAGGGAGACCCTACGCCACATTTATCTTACATTCTTCTTGCCTTGCTTCTTTTAGAGCCAGCCTAATTGTGGACGTGGACAAACTGTGGCCAAACTGCTCCCTTGTCGTGATCATGAACCACCCACCGCAATTATTTCAAGCAACCCCCACATCGGCACAAATCTCCATCCGTAATGTCAAAGGCTTAGACATTGGGCGCTAAAGTGGTGGCTTTGCATTGCTGAGTGCGAATGGTGTGGAAAGAGCAAAAACCTTACCACGAAAATGCCAAACCTTACCACGATAAGCCAAACCTCCCAACCTGTTGTGACCAGGTGGCGGGAAAAGGGGAGAGGGACCGGGTGCGGGGAGGGGGGGGGGGGGGGGGGGGGCTGGATCATTTATGGCCCAACGGTGGGCTTTTCAGCTTGCGGTGGCGGCTCAGCTGCAGGCCCAAGTTGAACTTTGTGTGCAGGAACTTTCTTTTCTTTCTTTCAGTTCATAGTT